AAAATTCAGTATTAATTCGTCCGACCTCTCGGACAAAGCACGGACATATAAATATAAATAGAAGACATAGAATAGTATAAAAAGAGGACGCGCGCAGGCTGAAACGCAAGGAATTATCCCCCGCGTTGACCAGCTGTCGCACTCCCAGTAGCATCTGAGGTAGTGGATAAGTTTGTAATCAATTTAAGGACTTTTCTTCGCAGACATAAGTAACGTGTGCCCGGAACCAGTGTGTTAAGTGGGGATCACAAAGCTTTTGTAAGGTTGTCTCGTCAATTAGTAAGAGAGCTCTCTACTATTACCGAGGAATCCAAGTGAGCGTGCTTGAGGAGTCTTTAAGACTAGTTTGGACCGCATCAGAGGCATAATAAAAACTCAAGGGAGTTATAAAAAGTCTACAAAGCACAATTTCCTTGTCATTTCTTCGTATACAGTTAGAGTGCAATCCCAGAACACTGAGACAGTCCCAATAAAAGTCGTTTCCCTTCAAAGACTACTAAAGTTTCGAATTCTACACTGTGTCCGCACGTAAAACAATACCTTTTGTCCCGAAAAGGTCTACTAGACTTAGACAAGTGATATAAAAAATACAAAAATGTTTCCCCGAACTTCTACTTAAGTTCTTACAAAACAAGTGTGGTAATTCTGTTTACCGTACGAACCCGAACTCGAAGTACCGAGCACGTACCTGTGGTGATAAGTGTTTAAGGTGTTTGTGTGTGTGTGTTGTTTAGGTGTTCACGCATCTTGTCAGCGCGTCCGATTGCACTATTCTCACTCCCGCGTGCCACGGTCTTCTCATCTGGAGCCCACCGCGAGGGTTTTCATTTGTTTTGTTTTTCAATTGTACTTGAAAAAGTTGTTTGAAAGCGGTTTTCGAATTATTTAAACATCTGTTTGAATCAACCAAAGACCATAAAAAACCAAGCCTAGTTTCTAATACCAAGAACTAGCATCAAAAGTCGTTTACAACGGCAGCCATAAAAATCAGAGAAACAGCCACATCTAAAAGAGCTAGAGAAGGTCCACAAGTACCCTTACCTCCTACACGGAAACCCAAACGCGCTGCTGAGCCAGTCGTACAACGTTACCCGTTAAGAAAAGAAGTACCTCCAAAACCTATACCTAGTCGACCTGCGAAAGCTGTTCGTCAATCTGAACCAAAATCTTCGAACTCAAAAGCCAGAAGAAACCCAATAATCATGCCTGACCCATCGAGTTCAAGCATAGAAGAACCGGCCCCTACAGGTCGGTCTTCACACAGAACCATGCCATTACCTGGTAATAAGGGAGCCCCGTTCTTCGATAAAGAGAAACCAATTGAGCTTCTACGTTTCTTAGACCAAATGGAAGATCTTTTCGCAGAATATGGTATTAATAGTGATGTGGAGAAAAAGAAGAAATTAGGAAAATATACGGATCAACGGACTGAATTCGAATGGAAAGCATTTAAAACATTCGAAGACGGCTCCTTTGACGAGTTTAAAAAGGCTCTAATAGCAGATTACCCTGATGCGCGAAATGCAGGAAAAGGGACTTTAACTGGACTAAGAGCTGTATGTAGAGAAAACAGTCGGCTAGCAGAAAAGAACTTGACAGAGTTGAAAATTTTAACTCGAAGTTTTAGGGCACAACAAAAATTACTCATGGCGCCGCCAGTACTGGTGAGCAACCGAGAGCTAGTTGACATGTTCTTAGGCTGTCTGACAGATTCCTTTGCTGATCAAGTTAAGGCCAGTTTGAATATTGAACAAACTAGAGACCGAAAACAGAAAGGCAACGAGGATGAGACCACTGCTAGAAGAGCTGAAGATCCATACGATATCATAGACATCATAGACATGGCAGAAACCATCGCTGGACGTCTTACTGGAGACTCCCGAGACCACCCAAGCAACGCGAGAGCTGTATCGACTGGTAGATCAGTTCAAGCGCGCGAACGGGAAATTAAAACGGAGCACGATGAATTCGAAGAATTGCGAAGTATTACTGCAACGTTCCTTGATCAAATTAAAGTC